GTGAAAGAGAGTATACCATTTTCAAGGCCAGTCGCTCTTAACTTCTCCTTCCCATAGAAAAAGCAGCATTAACATGGTCTGCTGAACATCCGCAGGAAACACGCTATCACACCGTCCAATCAGTAGTACAGCTTCGCCCCTTGGAACTACAGTATACCTTAGATATTTTTACTATGGCGGTAACTGCTTTTATCTCACTGTTAATAAACACACGTTCCTGGTGGTACGGTTAGAACTCAAGACACGGATGTTGCAACCAGTACAGCTCTTTCAGCCTTCTTGATATGCAACGTCGGTCATCGTGTCAACGTAGTAGCGATCGGTCGGGAAACAAGCGAACGGGAAGTATTGCAACAATACAAAACGCACAATTATACGTTTGATAGAGAAATCACACAAATGAGATCATACAAGTAATTCTATTTGCTTAATCAACAGACACATCTGTAAATATGAAAATATCGCCTCAACGGCGAAGCGTAAAGAAAAATGGCTCCTTGTAGCTGAGTACCCAACGCCACTTTATAGCACATCGTTGGACAGGTAGACTATTTCATGATAATCTTTTTAAATTTTGACCATCGAGCAACAAGGTCAAGCAACCCGCAACATAGAAGAGAAATCTGAACAGATTCACATTCCTATACTCTGTCAAGGTAACATTACTGGTAGTGAATCCGACTACAAAGAGAAACGCTCTGCTTGGAGCTAATTATATAACCACTCTTTTGAATTAGTAGTCTATAATCATCGACCACTTCCCATAATTCTGATCTTCAAAGCACTCGTGGAGCTTACTACACCTTTTTAAACAGTTGACTTCCAACGAGTTCGAACCCTACCCCACTTAGCGAGGTTTATGCAGCATCGTTAGCGCTCGAACAAAAGCTGTGGCTCATTGTATAACAGATTTACAAGCTGGTTACTCAGCTACACTTGACCCTCGAATTCTGGGGTCCTGTACAATTACGAGGTCGAAATATACTCAGCAACCACGTGTACGTTCATGCAGTGACCCGCATCTACTGTGTGAAAGCTAGTGATACTACTTGGCTGCTCAGACCTTAGTAGGTAGATTCGGGTTGGGTTGCTCCATCGGTAGCTGCTACCTTGACGTGCTGGTCGGGGATGCATATCATACTGACCCAATGAGCTATGTTGGTGGAATACTTATCTCGAGGTCCTAACATCCCACAAAGCTCTATCCGATAGTCAGTAGTAAGACGAAAACCAGTTACCGTTGTAGTTGAAATTACTACGCTATGATGGGTGGCTGAGGGCGAAATCGTACTGATGCTAGCTGAATGGGGTGTGACAGCAGTTGAGTTTCCTTTAGGAGACCAGCAGTGCCAAACTGATGCTGCCTTCTCAACTGATGGGTTAAGTTTAGAAAAGGTCGGTTCCAAAAAGAAAGCACTTCACCATGACCCATGGTCCCTCGGCGCCAGAAATCTAGGTTCTCTCCATCCGTCGTTGGAAAAATCAAACCTCGAAACAACAAGCAGATGCCTCGTGAAATCGGCGGTTACAGAAATCTTTCCTCATGCAGGTACCTCAAGAAGACGGAGCCTTCCACGGTGTGGGAAGCCAGGAAGTGTCAATCACGCTTACAACTCTGTCAGCGCTCAAGTTCACTCAGACCACTACCCACATTCCTTATCCTTACCTTCTAATCTTCCTTCACGTCTCCCAGTTAGCAATCCTACATCACCTTTAATTTCCTCTAGCTCTGTAGCTTTCGACAACGACGAGCCCACAGAACAGTATCCTTGGTCTACTTAAACCACACTCTAAACTACACATGGGAGACCTCAATGTCCACACTCCTAGTCAAATTGACCAACAAGCTTCATTGCCCAAAACTCTAGCAACTCGGGTCATGGATGTGCTGTTTGTGAGACATATATACGGGTCGCTTAACCTCTCAAGAACACTATGGTGATGGCTGGTCCTGTGTTGATTTTAATGATGATGATGGATTCAGGTTGGAAATCGAGTGTCGTGACCAATGAGTCACAACTCCACAATTTATAATTAACTTTTGTGTTTGACTTCCAGGAGTCAATCAACATGAGGTCTTGTAACTAGATTTTATGTACTCGCCACCTAGATGTTGCTACAACCATGAGGAAACTGGTGTTCTCACTGATGATTTCAACCCGCTTCACTCAGTGCTGAATTCAGGTTTAACCACGAAGTTATTCATTTTAATGGGTAGATTTTCTCATAGTACGACTTCGCCCCCGGACCTTCACCATAGAGTAATAATTTATGCTATGACGTTATTCGATTTTTGTCTTACCATTGCCCAACTGACTTACCTTGTACGGTAGGATCTCAAGAGAACTGGTGTCCCACCAGCACAGTTCGTTGGGTCATTGTAATAGTAAGTCCAACCATCACAACAAGGAAGTAAATATTAGTCACGGTTATCAGCTTTGGAGCTGATTCAAGCAATAACGTTTGCTAGATGAAAGTTTAATTCCTTGGAAATGGAATACAGTATAAATATTGAACCAGCTAAAGTATAACTCATAAGTTTCTGAAGTAAGTAAACACCCTAAAGCCGAACTTGGTAAATGTTCATATATATCCCTGATTCACAAAATTTTGTTTTCACTTATTTTCAACACAATTACAAAACCCTTTCTCTCATGCATTTTGCATTCTAAACTTTTAAATAAGTACATTAGGTTCCATCTGTTATAACAGTATATAAACTGATATACTTGTCTCATGTGGTCGACTTATAACTATAAAATATAACTCCGACAATGTGGTGTAATTACAACTTAAATAAAACTCCCTGAATCGATACAATCGCCCTTGCTTACACTTCACTCGATGAAATTTTGCTCACCAAGCTTGTGAAATTTCCTAGCTTTCCTCATGTTACGTAATATTCTCAGACTGCTTTTCCAGTGTTCTCTTGACCTTAAAAACTGAGCAGAAACTCTTGTGCAACTTTTTATAGTTCAAATCATTTATCAGTGCAGAGCTTCGAAAAGACGTTCATCCAAATGACAGTTTTGCTACGACTAACGTTTTGTATCTTTGACTAAATGAGGAAATTTCGGCATTTCAAAAATACTACTCAATCGGGATTAAGTAACATTCAGATTTTACAACGATGTTTTAAGACCAATCAATACAGTTGATGACTACTTAGGAAAATATTTCAAATATATCAACAGTCAAAAAATACGAATTGAAGTTATAGCTGACTTATTGATAGTAACGTGAAACTCGCAGACACTTCGAATCACATGATGTAACGTGATGCCACGAAATTTCACGCTGGACCCCCGCAAAAAATGAAAAAAAATATAGGCAGAGATCTTACGGAGGACATGCATTGTCAACATGGATATTCCTCGAATGACTCATCACATATTTGGTGTAACTTGTAACTTGATTTGAGGTCTTTATCCATTGTATCTGACTTACAAATACGATGGGTCCTAGTTGGTAGGAGGCAATCAGCAGGAAGCCCTCGACCTAGCTTCCCTGCTTATTGGCATTCGTCAGTAAGGCGTATCTGCAACATCTAGGGAACTGGTGTCTCCTCAGAGGTTCGAGTACACGTCAGCCAGTTGCAGTCAGTGACGTTACAACTGAGCTATTTGGACCGCAACTGACCTCTTGTAGGACTGGACTAGATTCATTGATTAGTCATCGGACAGCAACCAATATCATGTTGACCAGTCATGAGTGCTGACAGAATTCTACCGACCATTTAGCAATATGACCGTTAGGCTAGGCAGCTTACCATTCCAGTGGATGTTGGTTTGGTTGGCGGTAATCGACAGGACGCCCTTGACCTAGGTTTCGTGCTTATCAGCACTGGTCAGCAAGGCGTATCTGCAACTTCGATGGAACTGATGTCACTAATGAGTTATTCGGGATTAACTGTTTCGTTCTAATCAACTATATTCATTGCTTCACTTCAAAGGACTTGTACAAAAGATTTATCAACTATTTACTACTTGCATTAACTAGTGTTATTAGTGGGAGCAAAAAATAATCTAATCCTGTAATAAATCTAACGTTTAAATCTACAGTTTGGAGGATAAATTATTATAAAACCTCTTAACACAACTTCCATAAGTAATGAAAAAGCCGTTCACAATTGGGGATATTCAGGATGAGCATCGCATTAAACATATTTATAACTTCATGCAGCAATAAAACTACTTAAATATTTTCTCACTTTTCCTATTTCGTCACTGCTGACCACCTTTCAAACTTAGGTTTCAGAAAGTTGAGTTATGGCTAATGTTTTTGAGGATTTCATAAGTTTTTTTTCCCGTAAAAGACCGAAGCAGCTACCACAACCCCTTTAATTTTTCTACTAGAATAAATACAACTGATTTAACTGACCTTGATCTCCAAAAAATTTTGTTCTCTTGACAAAACTTAACGAAGTCAAAGTAGTGTTTCCTTTACAACTTGTGCCGTTAGTTAGATAAATAGAAATGTACGTGAAATGACAATACTGTAAGATACCAACTTGATCACTTCTTTTCGATAAAGAGAAAAGTTCAAGTTATCGAAAATGTGAAGTCATACATAAGTGCGACGAAATTATGAACATGCTACCGATATCTGATGTCACTACTGTAAGAATAAGGGTTGACGTTGATTCAGAAAATAAATACTCATAACCTGAACAATGGTATTTAAGTTTTATACAAGACGGACGATTTATATTGGTATATATAGTACCTGGTTTGCAACAAGTAGTAAGACGTCTGAAGAAAGTAGTCAACGATGAACCTAGATAATGATCGATTAAGAAATGCAGGTAAATTTTAAGAATACAATTTCATTACACAAATGCCTGCAGTTCCAACCATAGATGTTGCCGACAAGTAGGTAAATTGTCTACACATTACGATGAGTTTCCTCTTGATACTTTTTCCAGGTTAAGCATTTTTTCCTCTTCACGTACTGAAGCATCAATTTGAGATATTTTATCTTCAAAGAACTTTGAAAACCATTCAGATGTTGTTTCTTCTCATTGACAGTAAAATATGGATTTTTGAAAGACCATTGCAAACAAGCTCCAAAAAGGATGCCAACGGTTTACACTTGAGTTGTTTTTTATCTAGATGGTTTTCCAAAAATACATGTTCATAAAATGGTACATCCATTTCTGAATCCCAGTCTGAAAAATAGAAAATTAGTAACTGAATTCATACATTATCGGTAGGATTAGGTTAGTAGGAAAAAGACTGAACAATATATACTTGATGAGTGTAAATATGCGTTGGTCGCTGTATTAGGGATACTACTCTTTGGGTTTATGCATCAGAAGAATACCTAAGAAATAGAAAGAAAATATTTACGAATGCAAAAAGCAATCTAAAAGATAGCCAAGCATGCTTACTACTGATTTTTCGTGACTAGTGTGCAACATACCTTCGATTTCACTGTATACCTCCTCCCAAACAAAAAATATCTAAAAAACAGCCTTAGAATCTCTTTGCGAAAGATCAAGTGGACATAAGACGTTGCTACTGTTCAAAATATCCTATTACAGTAGAGAATACGCCGTAAAGAAACAAATTCTTGAGTGATCGTCATATGGATTCCACGAAAGATTTCCAGAAGAGAGGCTACTGAAAGTTGTAACAAACATATGAACTAATGAAAGCGTGACAATGTAAGTGCATGAGCATTGTCATCAGACAACAGGTAATCTTACTGCAGGAAATGACCATCAGGAAAACATAAAATAATTCACCTTATAACTATCAGTGTTAACAGTATCGATTTTCAAACTGAACGCATCAATTAGGTGGACAGCAAGTACCGAATTTCCATTGAAATTTGCCTTTTCTGAATTTATTCCACCATAAAATCTAAATTGCAACCTAATGCCAAACATCGTGCAGCCGCAGATAGTGTTCTTTCGGTTCCTAACCAACGGAACCCAAATAATCCACTGTGAATCATTCCAATTTAAACACTAACTTGGACAACAGATTCCTTGGAAGACCTAGATTATGTAGATGACATAGACATTTTAGTGAAGACGCTGACAAGATGCAGAGCCTACTGGATACTTCAAGTGGCAATTTGAGAATGTTTGGGATATATTTTTGCCAACCGGAAAGAGACTAATGCTACAGGACTAGCTTCCGTTGATAACTCGTCTTACAATACAGGATCAAATGGTTGAGCGTTTTGACTGTTTCACTTAATTGAGAAATTAGATCAGCCATAATGGGCTGGTGACCGACGAAATCTCGGTACGGATACAAAAGGTTCTCTTTGCCGTTGCTAACTTAAAGCCTTTCTGATGCCACCATGATATTTGATTGCCTGCTAAGAGGGAAGTGTACCACACTGAGGTTCTCTTTGTTTTAATACATGATTATTCAAGGTATCAGGTGTTCGACCACCGTTGCCTTTGTGGCATAGACCGTGTTTGTGGTGTCGCCATGTCAGTAAATTAGAAGTCAGGCGCAGGATTTTACGCAGATGAAGAAAGTCGTTCGGCGAGGTTTTGAACTTTCATTGCTTCAGATGGCTAAGACATTATGACTGAGTCATACTGTCTCAAATAAGAGTCGTGTAACTTCTTGGGTTACACTCAAGAATAGGTGGTTACCTTCTTTCATTTCACAGTGCCAAGTTATGTACCGACTACCTTTTTTTTCTTGCTGATTAACTTCCAGCACTTAACGTCAAAACAGAGCGCATTGCAGTGTTGCGTTACCTCAATGAGTGGTCAGATTGCAGCAGCCTTATCGACAGGCTTTGGTTGGTGCTAAGCACAAAAGCTAGATAGCTACATCGGTTACCCATTGATGACCAGTCCGTGTATATCGCACAACTTATAAGTGGCGTTAGTTGGCAAATACCCAACGGGCAGTGTTTTCGCAGCATGTGACAGATCTTAAGAACACAACGGTGATGCTCATCGTGAAATTATTTTTTACAAACACAAATCCCTAAATAGAAGTTTTACACACATTATCTATTACAGCTCATTTAAAGTCATGCTGGCATTAGAAGTGACCCAGACTGGCGCATGCCTCTTTCGCTTCCGAATTACAGTTTTGACTTTTGTTGGTCGCATCTCGTCTGGGAATCACACAACGCTTAAGATACACAAACTTTCCATCTACTTTCAATGGTTCAAACACCAGGGATGAGTGTAGACAAAGGTTCATATTTAACTTGCAAAAGTACTTGGCATTTCAACAGTGCGAAGTACACATCAATTGATTTACCGCAATTCGAGTAGCGTGTATGCCAGCGAGCAGATGAAAGATAACGTCCCCATACTTGAGAAGCTTTTCTAGATAGCAGATTTAAGCCGCTAATGACCTTTATCCAGACATTTTTTAGGAATTTTGTCTACGGAAGAGTTGGAGAAGAATCATAAAGTCAACGACTCCTGATTGACCTAATCGCTAGTTTGGAACGATACAGAGACAATACCAAATTTTTTGTATAGGAGTCTTGAAATTTGAATAAACTCAGGGAAACTCCAGTCGGAAAAACAATTTCGGAATAAGCTCCTGTTCAATTAGTGCAAAGGCAGTCCTAATATCATGAAATACATCGTATACTGATCGGAGCCCAAGTGTCTGACAAAGCGGAAGGTTTACAAGCAATTAGTTCATCCATGCCTTGGACGAAATTTCGCCAGCTCCTTCAGAGTCGGTACTTTGCATGTTTCTCAAAGCTCGTGGAGTATGACACGTCTCTCTCCCTCTCGTTATATGTGTACTTCCGTAACCCCCGACCACCTTGCATAGACTCTTTTAAAGACAGGAACAATGACGATTTCATTTTTCAGTGACGTTACATTTCTAAACCAATGAGCCACAACTACACAATATATGTGACTTTGCTGTTTGATTTTCAGGAGTCAATCAGCACGAAGCTTTTTACCTAGGTGTTGTGCTACTTGACACTCAATAACCAGACGTCTCTATAACCACAATCAAACTGGTATTCGCTTGGCGATCCGAACCTATGCCTATGTTGAAGTTAGATTTGATCACTAGGTTATTCAAGAAAAAGGTAAATTGTCTCACGAATCTTTGAAGGAAGAAACCTTTAGTTCAAGAAATATCGTCAGTGAAGCAGATAAATTTTGATGAAACAGAACTTTTTTTGCAAACGTAGGTTAGGCCTAGTTAAAATACTTTGAATACTTTTAAACGTACAGCGTAACCTTTCATGTTCTACATTTTATGTCTCAGGGTCCTAGTAGTAACGAATTAAAAACAATTAGTGAAACCAAGCAACCACTCCACGGTTTATAAAGCAGATTATGAAGCACCTGTTGTAGAAGCGTTGATGGTACTACAAGAATTCCGAAATCTCGATAGGTGGGGTGACAATGAGTTATTTATAGGACGGTATTTATTGATGTATGAAGAGTCACGCTGTGCAGATTTGGATTTTCAAACGATGGTTTAATTACTTATGATTCTCATGTCACCTGCAATTTTTTCGTACAGCAATAAACGCAACTTTATTTTTCGCTGCCTATAAATAAACAGAATTCTAACACATACGATTATTCCTACATGTATATCGACTGCTATTAGTGTTAAAAACCATTTCGCTTAGTCTTTTGTGACTGACTGTTGTAAAGATCACATAAGATTATTTTCATTAGGACGTACAGTACAAAGACATTACAAAGGAAATGATAATCTTATACAAAAAGCCATCTCCCTTTAAAGAGATAGTTAGTTAATTGACAATACGTACCTTGTTCATTATTAATAGGGAAATTCCACATCTTCTTTTCAATAGTCCATTTCAACCATTCTTCAAACTGATTACTTGGACGCGCACAGCTTAGAAGTGAAGCTTCTAAACTTTGAATAGTATCAAACACTGGATTTAAAGAGACGCATGGATCACTAAGTGTCACTGAACAAAAATAGTAGTCTTACGCACACTTACCAAGTTCTGCACTGAAAATTTCTACATCTGCTGGTACAGGGAGATCTGCGAAGGAAGAGAACGTTGCTGACATTTCATTAGCCCGTTCTGAAATTACGAGCAGTAAAATGAAACCCACCAAATGTGTGTCTTCCCACTGGTTCATCGTTAATAAAATCATCAAGCAGGTTTCTAAAATAATTCGTCAGAAATTCCATTACAATAATAAACCAATGATCTTAACATACCTGCACGCAACGACATCTGTGGATTTTTCACAACTATAAAGTTAATTACGTGAAAACAACTTACTGGTGAGCGTTGCTCTCCTGTGTTTTCCGCTCACTAACACCTGCTTTATCTTTACTGAGTTCTTCTGAAAGATTTCCTATCCACCTTTAAACTATGAAATTTAAAAATAAACAGCCAACTTTGTTCGTGCAGCTCTGAAGGGTGTTACAAGCAATTTTTTGAAAGAGTGACAACTAACACGAAATCTGTGGTAGATTTTTCGGGTTAAGCTATCCGCAAACTCACTTGGATGATACACCAAGATAACAGGTAACCATCAACAAATATAGGATGCTCTGTATGGGACAGCGAACAGGATTAGAAGCTTTGTAATCTTCAACGCTGAAAAACTGCTGTCTAAACCTACAGGAAAAAGTAAATCAAATGAATCCGCAGCTAATTAGACTAATGTGCTGATAACCATCACCATTCATGCAACCACCTGATGGTTGTTACTAAGTATTAAATACTTCAAAGCGGAGCCCCATGATACTTTAACGAAAAACATATATTTGCTCAAATTCTTGTCTTTTCAGTGTTATCGCAGCAACATTCCGCGTACTAGGATCTGCAACTCACTTTTAAAACACTGACTGACTGAAAAACTCAAGGTTTAACCTCGCACACAATTGCATCGATTCATTACACCACATTTCACAGCAGCATGAGAAGGACAAGATAGAAAAAGACTGGTATCAAAGGTGATAAACTGGTGTGAAAGAATAAACAATTTGAAGATAACGGTTAGAGCGAATATTCAAGCTTTAGATGTCAAGGAGTGAATACATTTGCGCCATTGTGGCTGATTTCCAACCGCGTATTCGAGAGTCCTCAGCTAATGATTCCCTTCGTCTCGAAGACCACAACCAGGTAGTCCACATCTCCCCACACAGCTCAGACCAACAATAAGAGACTTCATCGACTGGTGCCATATCTTCATCTGGCCACTCTCTTGCAACCTAATCCAACTTCCCCTAAAATTCCACGTTGAGGTAGATGGTGGCTCGGTATGCGCAGTACACATCCAAGCCATCTCAGTCGACTAAAGTTCATAACCTCATCAATCGACTTGTTTAGTACCTCTCACCTGACCTCAACATTGCTCACAAGATGATTCCACCAAACCTGAGCAATGCCACGAAGACATCTGTGATCGAAACTCAATAATTGCTTCATGTCTTCTACTTTCAAAGACCTTGTCTCAGCCATATAACAGGACAGAACGGATTGTAATGTGGTATACTCGTCCCTTGTTAGACGGTCAAATATCTTGCTAATCAGCGCTGCAGATGGCGCAAGTTAGCAAATGCCGAACGAGCCTCCTGTATCCCAGCTGCGATTTCGTCAGCAACCATACCGTGCGAGCTGCAGCAACTCGTCAAGTAAGTGAAGTGGTCGACATATTCCACTATTTCACTTCATCTTACACTTGATAGGCGCTAGCGATACGGATGCCAAACATATTCAGATTTCTACTCAGCGCGTTCAGAGGACCATGTATTTTGTGAGCGTCTTCACTGAGCAAGACAATATCGTCTGCATACTTCAAGTCAGCCAGATGACCTCCAGGGTGTAAATCAATCCCTGCGAAGTCAGGTGTACCTAAGATTCTTACCATTAGTACGTCTACAACGAAGGTGAAGGATGAAGTGAAGGACGAGTTCTACCATAAACTGTCTAACCTCCTCTCGAAAGCCAAACGTTCGGACGTAGTGGTTGTTGCAGGTGACCTCAACGCACAGGTGGGTAGACTGAGTGAGGCAGAAAGGCACTTAGGTGGCACTTTCGGAATCCCAGCTGAACGTACAGATAACGGTGATCGCCTATTACAACTATGCTCAGATAACCGCCTATTTTTAGCCAGCACAAATTTCAGACATAAAGAAAGGCACTGTCTGACCTGGCGTCCACCGAGCTCGACTCAGCGATGGACACAGATAGACCACATTGCTATTAGTCATCGCTGGAGAGGATCGGTGGAAGACTGCCGCTCCTTCTGGAGTACGTGTTTGGACAGCGATCATGCGTTGGTCCGAGCACGTATATGCCTGCGTCTCAATGGACGTAGAAAAAATTTGGCAACAAAACCACTACGAGTTCTGCTGGACAACGAAAACACCAAAGCCGTGTTCAGTGAGAAGTTGGCTAGGCAGTTATCGGAACAAAAGACTGTCACTCATCCAGAAGAAGCTTGGTGCCATCTTCAGTCTACTGTAAAAGCAGCACTGGAGACTGTAGCCGACTCCAAGATAATGGCTAAAAAGAGCCAGTGGATATCAGCAGCTTCTTCCAAACTAATGGATGCACGTGAATGCATCCCTGCAGGCTCTGAGTACAATGAAGAGCGAGCGCAACTTAAAAATAAACTGACGAAAAGTCTGCGCAACGATCGTGAACAGTGGTGGGCAGCAAAGGCTAAAGAGATGGAAAAGGCAGCGGCGATCGGTAACAGTAGACAGTTATTTAGACTTATTAAGGAGACTGGGGGGAAATGGTCAACAACAGTTAGTGAGGTTATAGCGGAGAAGGACGGATCGGCGATTCACTCGCAGGGAAGGCGACTGGGACGATGGGCAGAACACTTTGAGGAACAGTTTAACTGGCCTCCAGCCACCATTGCGCTGCCCGCTATCCAGTCGGACCCTGAATGGGACATAGAGACAGGTCCCCCAACACTAGAAGAAGTTGAGAAAGCGGTAGGTAGCCTGAAACGGGGAAGGGCAGCAGGACCAGACGGACTACCTGCTGAGGTATACAAGAATGGTGGTAGAGTTCTCTTAGTCAGGCTAACGGAAGTGTTAGCCAGTATATGGGAATCAAATACGATCCCCTCCGACTGGTCTAAGTCACTCATCATCCCAGTCTTCAAGAAAGGCGAGAAGTCCTCTTGTGATAACCACAGAGGAATCAGCCTGACAAACATAGTGTCTAAGATCCTAAGTTCTATAATTCTCCGACGCCTGAGTGGAGCTCGGGAACAGCAAGCCCGAGAAAACCAGGCAGGCTTTAGACCTGGCCGTGGATGTATCGACCAAATATTCACACTGCGCCAGGTCCTGGAACATAGGCATGCTTACAGACGCCCGACAATAGCTGTATTTCTCGACCTGAAGGCGGCATTTGACTCCGTTGATCGAGAAGTCTTATGGCAGTGTCTGTCACTGAAAGGCGTGCCTAGTAAGTACATCACCTTATTGAAAGCTCTCTACTCGAACACTTGTGGGCATGTTAGAGCCTATGGTGAGTTGTCCAGGGAGCTATACTCATCAAGTGGTGTCCGTCAAGGATGCCCACTATCCCCATTCTTATTTAATTTTATCATAGATATTCTTATGGAGGTTTCCCTCTCGTCACCTAATTACAAAGACGTTGACCCGATCACAGGTGAATTTTCCTTAGATCTAGAATATGCAGATGACATAGTCCTGTTAGGTGAAGACGCTGACAAGATGCAGAGTCTTCTGAACACTTTGAGTGGGAATTTGAGAATGTTTGGGATGCGATTTTCACCACCCAAATGCAAATTTTTGCTCCAGGACTGGTCTTCAGCGGTACCGCGGTTAACAATAGAGAGTGAAGTGGTTGAGTGTGTTGACCACTTCACTTACCTGGGAAGTAGGATCAACCCGGTGGGTTAGTTGCCGATGAGATTTCTGCACGGATACAAAAGGCTCGATTGGCTTTTGCCAATTTGCGCCACCTATGGCGCCGCCGTGATATTCGTTTGTCTATTAAGGGTCGCGTGTACTGCACAGCAGTCCGCTCTGTTCTACTGTATGGCTGTGAAACATGGCCATTGAAAGTGAGGAGACAAAAAGGTTACAGGTGTTTGACCACCGTTGCCTTCGTAGTATAGGACGTATTCCGTGGTGTCACCATGTGAGTAATGCAGAAGTTAGGTGTAGAGTTTTAGGGAGAAGAGGTAAGTCAGTCGACGAGGTTGTGAACCTTCATCGACTGAGATGGTTGGGACACGTACTACGTATGCCTAGTCACCGATTGCCTCGTCACACAATGTTGGCTGAGGTGGGTTCAGGCTGGAAAAAGGCCCGAGGTGGCCAGACTAAAACATGGCACCAATGTATGAAGTCTCTGACTGTTGGTTTAAGCCATGTAGGACGATGCAGACTAGGTGGTTGGGGTCCACGGGACAAGAGGAACCAGTGGTTGGAGACCCTAGGTGATATGGCTCAGAACCGAAGTCAGTGGCGCAGATGTATACACACATTATCCTCATCTTAACAACGCTATACCGAATCTCACTATTTTGTCACTCCTCTTTCCTTTCTTCTCGTACTTTATATTTCTTTTGACTGCATTCACTTATCTTCATCCTTCACCTCACTACCTTTTTACTTGATGTGCTGATATGAGGTGTGGCAACTCGGACCGTTACGCAGTAATGCCTGGTCCTATGTTGATAATGATGATGTGCATCCGTGGCGGACACCACTAGTTGTCAACTCATTTGACAACTTTTCACAAGCTCTTTTCTCACATGTCTGCATGAGTTCGAGTAGAGAGCTTTGATTAACGCTAAATACTTGATCGGTACTCCCTTCACAGTCAGACTGCCACAAGATCTCACGGCCGACTGAGTCAAATGACGCATTCAAGCCGACAAATATAGCAAGATGCAGAAATAAGGAAGAATTTCATGCATTTAGATTTGTTTATAAAACCAAACACAGAAAGAAGGGCGAAATTTGCAGAAGAAAATGATATCACTATTTCACGAATACACTTCAGCTGCATACAGCCTATAAGTACTATAGGTGTTAGAACACGATATTTCAAAGTAAAGAAATCAATAATCTCAAATTGTGCAGTAAAATCATTGATAAGTTAACATGCAACAGAATTAATTGTACAGAAGTAAGAAATACAAGAAAGGAAAAAGAATAATAGATAAATGACGAGTTACGTAATTAGAATGAGAATGAAACAGGATCAAGTCATAGTCACCATACTCTCCTCTTTTATGCGAAAGTCATGTTGAAGGCGTTTTATTGCCATCGCTTTCGTCAGGTGTAGTAATCCAGACATTTTTTGTACGTTTATTATTTGAAAAACACTCGAAGTTTCAACCTGATGTCCTGTGTCTACGACGTGTCCGGGGATTGCACTGGTTATAATTTTATTTCTTTTCAAGCAGTTCCGTGGGGAATGGACGCCTTTCTTTCAGTCTTTCCGATGTACTTGCTACCGTCAGAACAAATGAATTCATAAGTGCAGTTGGGAGTGACATGAACAGGGTAATCATCCAATTCTGACTCGTTCAAGGAGTATGTGGTATTGTATACTGATACAAGTTTAGCTGCAAGAAAGCTCGTTCTCCATGTTCCTTTGATTCTTGAGTCTTTTCTCTCGGATACTGCATTTCCCTAGAATGTAAGGTGTATAAAAACCTTCTCCGCAGTTGGGTTTGTTCCTTCGATCTCTTCTTTTACATACGACATAATAAGTGCCTTGGGATACCAATTCTCTCGGAGACACTTCTCAATGAAGTTTAGTACTTCGTCTAAGTTGCTTGCATAACTTCATTTCCTTGCTTTGTTGTAGTGTTTTGACTACTCCACGCTTATAGCTGGTAGGATAGAAACTGTTTTAGTTAAGGTGTTCTTTGGTACACGTGTCTTTCAACAGTGATGTACTTACCCGGGATTTCCTTCAGTGACAGACACTGCCACAAGACTTCTTGATTGATGGAGTCGAATGCCGCCTTCAGGTCCAGAAAATATAGCCACCGTCAGGCATCAGTTAATTTCTTTGTACTCCAGGACCTGGTGGGAGGTGAATTTCAGGTCGATAAGTCCACTGTCAGGTTCGAAACCTGCCTACCTGGTTTTGTCGGATTCGCAGCTCCCAAGCTCTATTCAGACGTCTGATAATTTAAACCTAGAGTCTTAGTGTTTGTTAGGCTGATTCTTCTGTGGTAACTGCAAGAGGACTTCTCACCTTTCTTGAAGACTGGGACAATCAGTGACTGAGGCCAGTGAGAGGGGATCATATCTGACTAGCAGTCATGAGTTGACGCTTCAGTCAGTTTGACCAATAACTCCCCACCACCCTTCTTAAATACATCCGGTACTAGTCAACCTGGACCTAGCACCTCTCGTTACAGGTTACATATAGCTTTCTCGACTTCAGCAAGTGAAGGACGTCCTATCACGTTCACTCAGGCGCCGACTGAATACCGGACAACGGAATAGTGGTTGAAGACCAACTGAACTGTTCCTTGAAGTGTTCCGCTTTTCATCCCAGTTGCCTTTCCGGTGAGCGGATCACAGACCCATCCTTCTCTGCTAGTCTCCCTAACCACCAACCCTTCCCTCCAATTCCCATAATAAGTCGAAATAACTCTCCGTTGTTACCATTAGCCTCTGCCTTTTCTATATATTTAACCTTCACTATCCAACACTGTTTTCGGTTGCGTAGACTTTTGTCAGTATTTTTTAATTGCTTTCACTCCTCATTATGCTCGGGGTCTGGGGATATGTGTTTGAGTGCATCCACTAGTTCAGAAGAAGCTTCTGAGATCTCCTGACTCTTTTTAACTACTTTCTGCGAGTTAGCTACGATGTTCTGCGTTGTTTTTATAGCAGAATGGAGATAGTGCCAGGCTTCTGGATGAGTGATATTGTCTAGTCAGTTTCTCGCTAAAAGCAGCCCTACTGCTCTCAACATCAAGCTGCAATCGCAATGCTCTCGCTGCTGTAGTTTCTCGACCTCCATTTGCACACACGTCCCCATTCTAAACCGTGGTTGGTCCAAACAAGAGCGATATTCTTGTCAACTTTTTTCAGCAATAACTGACAGTAATATGGTCTTTGTGACCAAAACGGAGTTGAGGTAGGTGGATGCCACTTCAGAAAATGTCTTTCCGTATGTCTGAAGTCCGTGCTTACCAGAAATGGGTGGTTGTTTGAATTTGAGCCTATATTGAGTGAAGTGACTTGAAAATGTGTTGGGCAGACCGAACGACCAGCTACTGCGACATTCAATGACAGCCAAAATAGGTTTGGGTCGGAAGGGAGCTAAAGAGGATGAACAAAGACGTAGTACCAGCTCATGAAGTCTTTGACTGTCTGTTCTGAGAAAGTTCACGGAGGTGTAGACTACTTGGTTGAGGTCCTACAGACAAAGGGAATCAATACTTACAAACTTGGTGACGCACAAAATTGGTCACTGGTGCTGATTTACATATATTCTCCAGGTTTTATCAACTTACTCTAGTATCCTGGATACACTAAATTCTACTCTAACATCACATTTCTGTCCCCCTTTATTAATGCAGATATGAGATTTGGCAGTCTGAATTGATGCACGTCTGTATCAGGCTCCTAGCTGATTTGTCTATCAAAAAGTTTATTTACCTTCCTAACTTACACTGACAAGTCTGATTTTTGTCAAAGCAAAGCCCACTTTAGACAGATCACTGATTGCGAGCTGACTGGCGTATGGTTATTAAAATTTCCTTCGAAATTAGCTGTTGAAATATTGGCATTAATAACAGACACTATATTAAGTGAACAGAAAAAAAGCAAGGTCAAACTTCTTCATAATGCTTTACATCACTCATAATCCCCCGCATCCCACTAGATTTCTCTTAAAAGTTGGCAGTCATCTCTTATGAGTCGAGCATGAATGAACACGTACAAAGATCCGACCTAATTCGTTTGTAATCTTATCATGTAAAATGTGAAAATTTATTCCTGAGGCTGTTACAACCTCTTCTCCTGATGCTTTTAAAAGGTTAGATGCATACTTGGAGTTGTCATACTGATGGTTTGTACTCAAGTTACTTTCCATCGTCCAAAACGTGAGTGGCAGGACTTTCAGTCAAGAGCTGATTAGTTAGTAGTTATCTGTCGTACCAGGTTTTCCACAACTGGGAAAAGGACTCCCACCATTCGAAATGGAGAACATATTCCAATAAGGCATACGTGGATCCCAAGGAACCATCGTTCGTCATTTTCTACAACACGGTGTCTGAATTCAACCTCGAGTTTCATTCTCACTATCGCTACTTACAAATTCCTTCTAGTATTAGCTGCTAGGGTAGAGAAGTTTAGCTGCTGACTTCCCTATCAGAAAAGAAAATTTTACATTAGACGTAAGTTAGTGATTCTTGAATTTTTTGTTATTCATTGAAGCTCAAAACAGTTGGGTGCGCGAACATATCATAAGAAAAACATATCGCCAGTTGATATATTAATACCACCAAATATGATGAAAAATATTAGGCAGTAGATATGAAAAACACAAACTTCACTTCTTGTGATAGCAGATTCCTGACGTCTGCTGCAGTTTTGAAATTCCGCGAGTCAGATAAAGTCTTAACTTTAGTCATTCTAATTTTTCAGCAAGACTTGCCTATGGATGTCAAAAGAAACTACTTTATAACCTTATTATCTGCCCATTTTAACTTTTGTGGTCTAAAGATGTATTTTTAGAACATTCAGAGTTCGGACAGTGGCACTGAAATGTAGGTAGAGCTTAACACAAATGATAACAGACCTCAGAGACGACTGGTCAGGCCACAGATTTCATGTCCTGAATCATTAGTTTACTACCACTTGCCATGTCTTTCACGCTGCACAAGCTCATTAAGACGAAGCCCACGTTGTTGGTTAGTGAGTGAGAGTTGGATTTCTTGTGATAAGTCGAAGTTGTGAATAAGATATTACAATGGGTAACGAAGGAGCTTCATCTTTCTTCATCTAATCTGTTACAAGAAGAAACCTCTGCAAACGATATCCCTTTTCAAGGGATTTCATGTGGCAAACACTGAAGTCCTGTTGTTGCGTCACACACTTCCCCAAAATCAATAGCCTAGGGTTCGACGACATTCAACATTGATGCTGACCCGCTTAGTTTAACTGGACTAGACAAGCTGAAGACACCCGGTCAATCATCCTCGCCATTTGGCACACTGTCATGTTACGTTGCACTGCTCGTATTCGACTCTCTAGCCAGTTAGTTGGGACGCATCGGTGTCTTGGCACAACCACCCAAATATACTATTCCATCTGACTACGCTATTGTGTTCTTCCTAGGTCTCGTATTCGAGGGTATATAACAAGTTCGAATGATCAGTGACTGGCCTTTGCGTCTGTCGAGCTCACACCAGGACAACTCCTAAAGTGTGTTGAGCTGTCATACGGGCAGGAGCCATAAGATGTGCTAGTTTTCTTCCGACTTGTTGTTTGAGGATAGGAGGCTGGGAGCCCATATGAATCCCTTCCCAGTGGATTTCTGTGCTTGTCCAATCCCCTTTTGATCGAAACAATGATGATGCGGACCCTACTTCATTTGGGAGTCGGTTCCAGGCGTTGATTGCTCAACGTGGGAACCAGTACTCTGAAAAGACTATGTTCGTTCCTTGCTTTTGTAGTCTCCTACTATATCCTTTGTGGTGTTCCGACCTGGTGGGAAGGAAATGACAAGGTCGACCAGGTCCGAAGCCATTTCTCAGAATCCTATATTGCGTTATTAGGTCTCCCCTCTGTCTGCGATAGGACAGTGAAGATAGGATAGTGAAGAGGTTCATCTTCTTAAGTCGGTCTTCATAGGTGAGGCCAGCCATCATACGAGTGGCTGCCCTCTGAACTCTTTTTAGAAGGTCTGTGTCACCTTTCAGACAAGAGTTAGCCTCCTGTGTACAGTTTTCCAACTTAGACCTAACTAAGGATGTGTATAAGATGGTGAACACGTCACCACTTATTTTCGTAAACGTTTTATGTAATGCCCAGAGAGTCTTAAAACTCCGAGCTGCTACCAACCGACAGTGGGCCGTGATTTTCAAGTCATAACTCACTGTGACTCCTAGGCCATTGTGGGTCAGTACTGACGATAAAGGAGTCCAATCAATATCGTAGGTGTTGCTGTGTGTGAGTGTGCCGCAAGTACATGCTCACACATTCACATACATTGATAGGCATCAGGCACTTCATTGACCAAGTAAACAATCTGTTCAGGTCTATCCGAAGTGCACGCAAATTTCTACGAAAACCGTGCTGTAAACGAGATAATAGAGTGTTGCTCTCTAAGTTGACTTTGATGGCTTTCTTGATTACCCTTCATAGGGTTTTCACTACAGTAGTGGTCAAACTTGTCAGTCTGTAGTTTGATGGAAGCTGTCTAGGACCTGCCTTGTGGATAGGCGTTATTATGGCATCCTTCCAGCTGTAGGGGAGTGTGCCTTCACTGAGAGAGTCTGGATACAGTAGTCAGTGGGCCGGCTTCATAGATTACAAGCTCTCTGAGCAGTCTTGGGTGCAGCTCATCCGATCCCGTTGATTTTTCTACATCGGGAGTACTTAGTGTCCGAAATACATCATTACGATCGACATCCACAGAGTTTATTATGTTGGATGTCAATGCTTCTACTTTTGGATGTGTCCATAGAGGACTCTTGTGTGAAAACCGCAGCAAAATATGCAGCCATGGCTGCTGCTTTCTCTCCATTGTCCTGAATCAGTCATTTTCTGTCCCACTGATTGGGCTGGTATACCACGAAGTCCCTTGGGTTCAGAATTATCGTCATTACAGAGATATTTACTTTGGACTAATCTGCTGGCGGGATGTAAACAAATGTTTTCTTCGGAGACATGTATATTCGAAGAAAAGAGCTTGAAATGGACTGAGTAAATTGCGCCCACACTTTTAGACAAATCACACATTCTGGGTCCCTGTGATGGAAATGAGCAGAGACGAAATTTTTAGTGGATGAAACAGATCAGAAAAACCTGTCTTAGCAGCTTCACGAAAATTAGACAGTATTAGTAGCTTCAATATGCACAACTGCTGGGAAGTCATATATGTTAGCGTTTGGAATGGGTTACCCCATCAGGTTGTTTTTGACAGCAGGCACTTAGCTGAATTGACAACTGAAGTACACACAAACGACTCTGGAAACATGTGGAGTTGTCTTCGAAAGCCTTTAGAGCATTTGGCAAGCACACAAGGCGAAACTGTGTTGTCTCATATAAATGCGTGGAAACACAGCCAGTGGTATGGTTTCGGCGGTGTTATACCCCCCAGAATATGTGGATATCTTTGTTCTTCATGCAAAGCGTATCTGTAAATTGTGAAATAGATACCATTTTCTCCAATAGTCGTATTTTGTTTGATGCGGTGGATTCTTTTCGGTTAAAGTACACTGGAATGTAATTTATCATCTCTAAAGTTTCATCTCGTCAAAATGTCCCTTCTACTGAATGTTGTTTTGATGAACCTGGTAGCGATTCAGTCAACTTGTGACGTGTCGGACACCACGAACTTGGCAGGAGCATGATGCTTTGACCAACCGATTCTAGGAAATATATGAATTGTCAAGCTAATAGTTTGCGTAGGGTTCAAGACTGAGTCTAAACAGATGGGAAAACGGCAGCGTAGGTGCTGAGTGCATCTTGCGAGGACAAGGAGATACTTGGTTTCTGACATCAGTGGCCGAAAGTAAAATGGCATCCAGTTTCGTCTCTGTATACAACTACCATCTGGGTTTGCCATAAGTCATGGAAGATCAGTTGGATATCCTAAAAGCGTACATGAGGGATGAAATTTTCCGCGGAATATGCATGCCTTACAATGACTTGGTTTCTGCTGGTATCAATGATGGCTAAGATGCAAGACAGGCCGAAGTCACCTTGAAAGTTATGATGGGTGTAGTGTTTGGACCAGATCTCGAGCTGGAGTCTCCGACCTTGGATACTTCGTGAAATAGTAGGGTTGCGAAGCAAACCTTCCACAAAGTACTAGGGTGTAAAATTCACTTTTTATAATGTACTCCCCAAAGCCGTAATTCATTCAGTTTGTGGCTATACTGCTTGGCCAAAGAGAAGCTGAAGCGCTGGTGGATGTATCTACTGAGTAGTACCTCCACAACTTCCGGTACATTGGTTAGGCGCTGCGAGTATAAAACCCCGCAGGTTTTCTTCTATATTGCATATTCCCTACCTATGTGGCGTCACACACTTCTCCAAATCGATAGCCCAGGGTTCGGAGCGATTCAACATTGATGCTGACCTTCATAGTTTGACTGGACTCGTCCAGCTGAAGGCGCCTGGTCAAGCATCTTCGCCATTTGGCACGCTGTCGTGTTACGTTTCACTGCTTGTAATCGACCCCTACCCAGTTAGTTAGAACGCATCGTATCTCGGCCGGCCTCGCAAACATACTGTTGCATCCGACTACGCTATTGTGTTGTTTCTTGGTCTCGTGTTCGTGGATATATCGCAAGTTCCAATACTTAGTGATTGGCCACCGAGTCCGTCGAGTTCGCACCAAGACAATTCCTAAACCTATGTAAATCTGATTGGAACTACTAACATTTTCATTGTGGTAGCCTTCTTTGAGAGGGCTGGGTGGCAGAACCAAAGAAGTGGTCTATCATGCGAAAGGGTTCTCTTCATTTTTACACCGAATGACATTTGGTAAGTCCTTATTTGAACTTCCTCTTCGTCCACCCACGGAAATCTCCAAGTGTACGTAAACAGCTAAATTAATGGAGATATTTCAGTCACCATGTGCATCTCGCAAATGTCATTTCATGAAATGTACATCTATGCCATCATCATGACTGCTTTATGCAAGTGGTAGATGAATTTAGCAACCAGGCAGGTAGTGGGTGAACAAAGCGAAACCTGCGCTTACTAGGGCTTATGGGAAGCTCTGTCTATTAGAATAAAATTCAGAAACCCTACAAACTTGAGACGATCAACTGGCATCTGATGTACGTACTGCTCGTCTGGGTAACTAAATTTTAAAACAAACATTCTATCATATATTCTCACTCGGTTCTTCACTCAAGAGAAAAGTCGAGAGGTCTCCGCCGATAACACTGGGCATTGGAAAATTTACAAGCTACCGTTCTGTGACTCGTGAGTCTGGGCATTCAGCTGTCGACCCGTGAGTCATGTATTCGATGTATGTCCCAACAACCGGAGTCTGAGCAGCCAGGTAATATCACTAACCCTAACGTGACAGGCGTCGTTACTAAGCCTGCTAAGCGGTACGTCCTTCATCAATAGACGGCTTCACTGTGGTTCTCTGTTAGACAGTAACCAGTTCACTTAAGCAACTAGCGCAAGGTAGCGGTAGGTATATGCTTCGAATGCATAATACTTCCTGATGAGTCAGGACGGTCTTTCCTCAGTTTACCCAAATGCCAAGTGTGCACTTATCCCATATCATCTGAACTTAAACCTTCACCGAGAGCCCCACAGTATGCGGAGGATCTATTACTTGCGATTCGCAATGACACCGTTTCACAGTCTACTGACACTGCAAAAAGCACTGACACATTACTTAGGAACTCACCTTTATGAATCGGTCATTATTTACAAGTGC